ACCTGAACGAGCAAGAGAGGTAAAACACATTACCAATTCCCTGTAGCATTCAGTTCCCAATTCTGTTCTTAACAGCAATTGGATAACAACAAGGAAATTTAATATTAGGGCTGCCAACCTATCCATAAATCACTCTTTTGTGTCTTGCAAAACTTGTGATAAAAAGATCACATACAGTAAAGACCCATGCAATAGCTTGATTCAGGCACGGAGACTTGAACTTCTCTCTCCCCCCTACAAGTGGTCCCTTCAGAACAGTGCTGACGTACATTGGCAGGGCAATGTGGAGAAGCTTGCATTGCCACTGCCTTTTCTGTGGATGAATGGCAGACGTCAGTCTCCAGGATTCTTAAAATCTGTTTTACAGGAGTATTTTTTTAAATAATTTTATAAGGACATATAACACACATGAACCTAAGACAGACAAAAAGGTTCATTGACTATAATTCAGAGATTTATAAGGCTCAAAGATACAGTTGTGATTATCTGGTCCAACCTCCTGTATAAATACAAGCCATAGAACTTCCCTGAATTAATTTCTGTCTGAACTAGAGCATATCTTTTAAAAACATCCAATCTTGATTTTAAAATCGCCAGTGATGGTGAATCTACCACCACCGTAGTTCCAAAGTTTAATTACCTCACTGGTTAAAACAATGTGCCTTATTTCTAGAATGACTTTGTCTAACTTCAGGATCTTATTGTACCTTGGTCTGCTAGAGTGAAATGCCCTCTATTATCAAATTTCAAATTTGATTATTGTCAAATATCTGTTCCCCATATAGGTACTTATAGACCGTAATCAAGCCATCCCTTAACCTTCTCTTTGTCAAATTAAACAGATTGAATCTATAAACCATGTTTTCCAATTCTTTAATCGTTTTTGTGGCTCTTCTCTAAACCTTCTCCAATTTATCAACAGCAAAATGTATCATTTACTTCTGTGATAAAAGGGGCACAACTTGGGAAGGAAATTTTGTTCGATGGCTTCATCATAATCTCAAATAGATCCTTATCAAAGTCACAGAACCACAAAAGACTTTAGTGCTATGATTGACAATCTACGCAACAGAGGTGAGGCCCCATTCTGGAAATACATACTGTATGTCAGCGTGGAGGTGGACTGGAAGAGCTGTGTGGGAAAGCTTGCAGTCAGTTATTGCCAAGGATATCAGTCTCTCACTTTCACATGCACTAAATACACATCTACTAAATTTAACGAAAGAAACATGTAAATGTTCAGGCATTGTTTATGTCAGCATGGAAAACACGAAATCACATCCCAACACCTCTCAAAAGACTGAACTTCATGGCAAAGAAAATATGTGAGCTCAAACCTTATAATCAAAGAGATTTCTATTAGGAGAGTAAACAAAGAGCGGAAGGAAGGGTGGAGCATCAGCACAGTAGATCTGCAATTTGACACAGAAGGACATTGCTATAAGGAAGTGTCATACATGCAGCAGTATTTCAGTAACAGTTAAACCTCTAGTAGTACTTACTTTTTCGGTTATACACTGGTAGACAGCATGTAATAAGTTAACAGTAAGGAAAAAAAAATCAAATCACCTCTGTCAGTAAAATGAACACAATGCAATCCACTTAAATGCTAAGAGGTGGAACTGAGTAGATCATTGTTGAAGTATTGTTTTGCATCAATCTACTGCATTTCTAAAAATATTTTTCCATATATAATCTATAAAATATATTGTTAAACTGTAGGTACTTTCATTGATAAAAATACAATTCGTTCTAGCATAGATCAGTAAAAGAGTTCACCTAGTCAGCCATCAAAATCCATTCAGCTTTAATTCTATCATATTTTTCCTAGCGTAATTCAACAACTTCTGGAAAATTCAAGATCAAGAAGGTAGAAATCCTCAATTTCTTTCTGCTCCTCATAAAGGAAACTCGGACAGCTACATTCTTACCTAAACTGCAACCTACAGAGAAGACATAAATTGAATGATGCTGCACTGTGATTCTCAAAAGGATTACAAAAAGTGATTAACCTATTTAAATGCACAGCCTCACTGCCTGGAGAAACTGACAGTTAGGTATATCTCTAGATTACTAAATCAAATGAAGTGATCAAAGGGTTACACTAACTGCAGTGTCTGCCAACAGTACCTGTTTGATACAGTTAATGCAGCAACATGATGCTAACCTTTAGTATTACCCAACTAACCCAAGTGAATTTTAAAAGTTGCTGCAAGATGATTTAATCACTCCCTAAAATGTGTGTTGTCACACATGCTTCCTTAATGCTATACCACAGGGAGGTTTACCAGTAAGTTACCTCTAGTTCTCTTTCTCCTTCCTACCTAATTACTATTACACAGTCAGATTACAGCAGTTAGGTATACCACTAGAATTAAACAGATTTTCCATCATGGAACTGGGTGGTTTGGAAAAGAAAACACTTTTGATCCACAGAGAAGTTGAACTCAAGGCTTAGAGTGAAATGAGTTTTATTAAAAAAAAAAAAAAAAGACAGGTATTTTTCTGCACTGGAGAAATACTAAGCATGGGTTGAACTACCTAGTAGATATGTAATTGCAAAGAAGCCAATTCGCATGAACACTGAATGATCTCTAACATCTAGAAAGAACATGGTCTGGTACCCACTGATGAGACAGATAACCCAGTTGCCTACCCCACATCCCAGTTGTGAATAATAAAGGATTTAGTTCTAGTTCTTTCTCAACTTTTCCCTTGATAAGGATTTTAATAAGGGACACTCCGACAAGCTAGGCTCAAAGTCTAAAGAAAAATGAGATACTTATGAACATATTTCAAGTGTAAGCATGTGTGATGTAAATACAATATCATGAAGCTCAGATTATAGACAATATTGTCTATGCTAAAGAAGTTAACACATGATACACTTCTGGCACTATTACCATCTTTGGCTCTCTCTTGAGGGTGTTTGTCCCACATTTCACCCTTGGCAGGTTAAGAGATAGGCTTATAAAAGTAATAATAAAATATGGCTCTTCTAAACTGTACTGTTATTTTTCAGGAACTTTGAAAATTTGTCTACATTCTCAGGGGAGAGCTGGACGGTTGTGTTAGTTCTGCAAGGGAAAGATATTCAAAAATAAACTTTGTACGGACTTGAAGCCAAAAACCTGAACACTCCACTTCTTGGATTTCATACCCGCTTGGTTTAAGGGGTTGTATGCCATGGCTATGCATAATTCCCAGCCACATTCCAGTACAATAATTGTATATGAAAATGCATCCTCAGTCAGATCATTTTTATTGCTATGGGTACAGATCTTAGAAAAGGCAACCCCTACTGAGAGCTCTTGAGAGTAAAAGTTCTTGGCAAAGGGAAGAGGCATGAACTCAGAAGGTGACTAATTAACAACAATGAAGGAAGGGCTGGACTACATGCAGAGTTGCACTGCTTTAACTTAAGGTTTCTTTTTAAACTCATTTGGCACCAGCCACTCTTAGTTCGGTTTAAACCAAGCTTATTTTAGTTTATCTTGCACAGATTAGGAACGGATATAAACTAAACCAAAATGAGCCATTCTTAAACAGAAAATAAAAACGAGCATCCATTCTAGTATCAGCTTAACTAAACCAGTACAAGTTTCTGTGCAGGGAACCCTTAATCTTCAAGCTTCAAATATATGATCGGGCTGGGGGGGAAAGGAGAGCAAGAAAAGAATCTTAGTTCAACCATCCTCCTCCACCAACATATTAAAGAGCACATCAAACCTTCAGAATGATCCCTTCTATGCATTAGAGCTACATGCACAAGTGACATACTAAATACCCACTGCTCTGCAGACAGCCTGTGTTTGCCTGAGTGCATTTGCAGAGTACACGCAATTGCTAACACAGATGTTCCCAACCCACTTTATGAGGTCAACGGTCTGTAAGACCAAGTTGCCACGACCCAGCACTTTGGAACAACAGGACCAGCAGAGAGGGATCTGCGGTGGCTGGAGACACATCAATCAGCAACACCCCCCTCCCCCGATAAAAACAGCACACACGCACTAAAGCCTCCTGTTTCTGGAGAGTGACGGGATGGGGCAGTTGGGGGAGGACTGGGCAGGGATGAGAGGCAGACGGGGAGCAGGTAGTGTCACGGGAGCGGGGGGCGCGAAGTGGAAGGGCAATTTGGGAAAAGGGGGCAGGGCTAGCGCCTGAGGGAAAGGAGCGAAGAGCTGCTCCCGCTCCCACCCCCACACACAGCGCCCGGGGCTGTGGAGGCAGAGGAGCGCGGCGCTCGCTGCGGCTGGGGCAGCCGCAAAGGGCAGGGAGGCTGCGCCCCCGCCCCGCCCCGCGCCCTCCAGGCGGCCCCGGCCGCGACACGGGGCAGCCGGGCGCGCTGACAAGCACGAGGGAGGGAGGCTGCGTTTCCTCTTTCTCGGCGCGATATCAGCCGAGCCGCTTCCCCCTTCCCCAGCCGCCCCCAGCACAGCCGGGGCCACGCTCCTGGGCTGAGCGCCCCCCGAGGCGGGCCCGGCAAGAAAGCGAAGGGGGCACGTCTCCCTCCAGCCCACCCCGCAGCCGTCACCCCTGGCCAGGTGCGGGGTCTCCTCCTGCAGCCGCCTGCCACCCCCCACACAGCCAGCATCCTACCCCACCCCCTCCTCCCACCCCAAACCCTGCCCGCGCCCCAGCGGCATCTCCACCTTAGCCCCGGTCCCTCCAGCGCCCCCAGCAACGTGCCCCCCACTGCACTGCCAGGGGCACCCCCTGCCGCAGCGCCGCCCCCCCCAGCTACCCCTCTCCCCCGAGAGCCTTCTCAGCACACCGTGCATCTGCCCCCCGCAGACCTGCCCAAACGGAAACGAAAGTACCTTAAAAATCCAGGCACCACTTTCACCCCCAGCAGCCAAGTGCAGAGTGGAGCCGCGGTGAAGTTTGCTGCCCTGCTGCGGCGAGCGCCTGGCAGCTCCGCTGCTTCCTTTCCCCGGCCCGCGCCTCTCCCACCATTGAAGTTGGGCTTTTTACCGCTGCTGTTTTGGTGTTTCTGACTCTATCCCATCATCAGAGTCAAACACACACTCTGCTGCTGCTGCTGCTCTCACTTCCTCTTCCTTCCTCCTGCTGGCCACACACCCAATTTGCATCTGCAAGAAGCCCCAAGATAATCTGCGAAGTATCTCTGAAGGAATGGTGAGTATTTACCAGCACCTGCAAAATAGGGAACAATCAATTGTATGCATCTTTTACTTTATTCATTTAATCCTTTGGATTTTAAAATCTACATTTTTCCACGCTACGATTATATGACACTTCCTACTATCTCCATTTTGTGTATTTAAAAAAAATCACTAAAAATATACAGAATAAAAAAAGAGAAACTCCGTACTTTTCCTCTAACATAATTTTTAAGAGGCTTTTCATTGTCTCTGTCCCTGATGAATAATTTTGCAACTGATCCATGCTCTGCAGGCAGCAGTGCAGAAGTAAGGGTAGCAGTACCGCAACCCTCCCTACAATAACCTTGTGACATCCCCCCCCATGATTCCTTTTTGAGTCAGGACTCCTACAATTATAACATTCTAACACTTCAGATTTAAATAGCTAACAACATGAAATTTACTAATTTAAAAATCCCATGACAGTGAAATTGACCAAAATGGACTATGAATTTGGTAGGGCCCTAATTATCACTCAGAACCAGAGCCGTCCCTAGGGTATGGTGAATCAGGGTGACCGCCCCAGGCCCCACGCTTTGGGGGGCCCAGCACTTCGTGAGGAGGTGTGCAGGAGGAGAGGGGGGGCGAGGAGGAGCACCTCCTGCCCAAGGATCAGTGCCTCCCCCTCCCTCAGCTGTTTCATGGTGTCTGGAGGCACTAGGGGGAGGGAGAAGGAGCAAGGGCACACATGCTCAGAGGTGGGGCAGAACAGAGCAGGGGCAAGAGCAGGGCCTTGGGGGAAGGGGTGGAGTGGGGGCAGGACTTGGGCGGAGGCAGGGGGAGCACCCCCTGGCAGATAGAACTCGGTGCCTATGTCCCAGGCCCCGCACCCGCCTAGGGATGGCCCTGCTCAGAACTTCTTTACTCTCAGTTACTATGATCCATGACCACCTAGTAACCTCTAGGCTGTCTCTGTGTGGAACACAATTTCCACTCAAAAAAGGATAAGCAGGATTCAGATTATCCTGCTACTTAGCACAAACTCCTACAGCATGAGCTAAAAGGAGAAATCTCCAACGTTCAGCAAATATGACACACAGATCTGTAGTTCAGATTCCAACCAGGAGAGGGCAGTAGCACTCATACGCATTATGATATATTTTATCAAGAGATTAGTAATTTTGAGTGCCCAATTTAAGGGACCTTAACCCAGCCTGATTGTCAGGAAATGCTGAGCTCCCACCATCTGACAGTCAGATCCCTTTAAGTGTCTTTAGACCTCCCAAAAACTGAAGCACCCAAAAAATCATGAATAACTTTTGAAAATCTTAGGTTATAGCTATTTCAATACATATTTACAAAACTCATCCTCAAATATCAGGGGTTCTCAGGAGCTCAGATCTTGCTTCTGAATCCAGAGGCCACCTAAGAATTTCACCTTAGTTCCTGTTAGAACTAGTAAAATATTTGTTAATTATTTGTATAATAAAGATTATTATTTGTCAATAATTATTTGAGGAAAAATGCCAACATTTGCAACAAACGCTGGTGCCAATACTACAAAACTTACATATGGGAATATGTCACTTAAATTAATAGTACCATTTATTTCACCTGTATAAAATTGCTTGCAGACTTGGACCCTACAATCACAGTGCTATTGCAATCAGGGCCGGCTCCAGGCACCAGCTAAAGTGCCACCAGGTGTTTGGGCCAATACCAAGGGGTTGCACTACGGCTGCTATTGGGGCGGCACATCCGGGTCTTCGGCGGCAAGTCCCTCAGTCCCTCTCGGAGCGAAGGACCTGCCGCCAAATTGTTGCCGAAGAGTAGAGTGGCGCGATCGCGCTGCCGCAGCGTTTTTTTTTTTTTGCCGCTTGGGGCGGCAAAAAACCTGGAGCCAGCCCTGATTGCAATACACCAGCTAATGTTTATTTGCACCATTGTCCTTGAAAGAATCACACCATTTTAGGCCCTCTACATCAACTAGAGAAGATGGCGGCCTGTCCTTTGGAGAAGGAAGTTTTACAGTCACTGTTACTATGAAGTTCTGAGTGATAATTAGGGCCCTATCACATTCACAGTCCGTTTTGGTCAATTTCACAGTCATAGGATTTTTAAATTAGTCAATTTCATGATTTCAGCTATTTAAATCTGAAGTGTCACAGTGTTGTAATTGTAGGGGTCCTGACCCAAAAAGGAATTGTGAGGGGGGTTGCGGTACTGCTCCCCTTACTTCTGTGCTGCTGTCTGCAGAGCTGGCCCCTCAGTCAGCCACTGCCACTCTCCGGCCACCCAGCTCTGAAGGCAGCAGCACAGAAGAAAGGGTGGCATGGTATGGTATTGCCACGCTTACTTCTGCACTGTTGCTGGCGTGACACTGCCTTCAGAGATGGCCGCTTGGCCAACAGCCACCGCTCTCCAGCTGCCTGGCTCTGAAGGCAGCACAGAAGGAAGGGTGGCAATACCGTTACTCCCCTAAAATAACCATGCAACACCCCCCTGCAACACCCTTTTGGGTCAGGACCCCCAATTTGAGAAACGCTGGTCTCGCCGTGAAATCAGTATAGTATAGGGTAAAAGCACACAAAAGACCTGATTTCATGTAGGGAAACCAGATTTCATGGTCCGTGATGCATTTTTCATGGCCGTGAATTTGGTAGGGCCCTAGTGATAATGGTGTGCTAGAGCTGACTAAATAATTCAGTGTGAATTAGTCGATGGTACTGAGTAAAAATTACTGACCCATTAAAATGCTAAATTGCAGGTCTAGGACCATAAACTGTACTATGAATGACAGTGATAGTGATATCACTGGCCAGATCATGCCTCCAAGATCAGCACATGGAAGTTCCCTTCCACATGTGAACCCTACCCTTTCCATGTGGAAAGGAATGACTCATCTGCCTCCACAGCATTGTCCCTCCTTTCTCCAAGTCAAGACCTCACAGAATGAAAGTGTTTTTGCAAGGTTAGGATCTGTGGGGTTTGAGATGATCACGTTGAGCAAGCTGGGAGCAGGGAATGGAGAGTACAGCAATGGGAGGGGCAGGAAAGCCTGTGGCTGTATTGTCTTTCCCTCTGCCTGCATTGTGGGAATACCCCACAGCCAAAGAGAGTCTCAGTAAAGCCATGATACTCCTCACTGAGACTTCTTTCCTCCCTTGGCTTCTCCCATGGTTTGTTACCTCAAAGAGGGGGAGGGGGTTTCTGGCCTGATGTTTGTAACCTGAGGGTGATGATAGTTGTTTAGTACAAATTTTAGATTAACTTTAAAACTAAAGTTTTATTGTTTTTTTGATTAAATTAGGATAACATTTTAAAACTATAAAGATACAAACCAGATGTGAAAAAATGCAAATATAAAGCCCCAGACGTATATGTTCAATTCATATTTAAGTCATGTAATGACATAACCAGAAAGAAAAGAGATGGTGGAAGGGATGTAGAGAAGAGAAAAGGGAATTATAAAACCACCCCAAGAGTCTCTTACTGCTGCTCTCTTATCCAAGAAAAGAGAACAGTCAATACTAGCTGAATAGGAATTCACTGTTGCAGTTGAAAGATGTTTTGTTATACAGGGATCGGGGGGGGGAGAGATGTTCTCTGGATTATCCACAGATCAAGTACAGCACTAGCAGCAGGAACATAGTCTTCCTAAAGGTCAGCAAGTATACCTCAACTCTGACTTGGAAGGAACGCTTTTGAGGGGCAGGAGTGCTTCCCTTCCAATGCTTATTTAATCGCTGGTCTCTTTGCTGTGTCCGCCACCTAGGATGACCAGACAGCAAATCGGGACAGGAAGTAGGGGGTAATAGGTACCTACACCTCTACCCCGATTAACGTGACCCGATATAACACAAATTCGGATATAACACAGTAAAGCAGTGCTGGGGGGGGGGGAGGGGCTGCGCACTCTGGTGGATCAAAGCAAGTTCGATATAATGCGGTTTCACCTATAACGCGGTAAGATTTTTTTGGCTCCCGAGGACAGCGTTCTATCGAGGTAGAGGTGTATATAAGAAAAAGCCCCCCAAAAAATCGGGACTGTCCCTATAAAATCGGGACATCTGGTCACCCTACCGCAACCAAATTGCACATCAGCACCAGTGATGATAGTGGCTTTTGTGCACTAGAGTGACTCCCATTGACTTCAGTGGGCTTTGAATCAGCCCCTAAGAACTGGACTTGATATGTTTGCTAAATATTTCTGAAGAGCCAGAAGAGGGAGCTAGGGAGCACAGGATTTTGAGACTGTGCATTTTATTTTATGTGGGTATTTCTGCCACAACCCTAAAAATAAAGGCAAAGATTTTCAAATGACTTATGATATTTGGTGCACAGCTTGAGACACAGGAGAGGGACAGAGGGCAGGTTCTCGGCACTTTCTGAAAATCATCTCAAGTTGGTCATCCAAATACTGAGGAATCCAAAATCAATAGTTACTTTTGAAAATCAATGCCCTAGGTCCTTGAATGTCTGTATCAATTTTAAAGATCTCATGACAATTTGTGTATAAGTAGGGTTGTCATATACAGTTTTCCTTGTAATCACTGTGGTCCAACATCCAGCTTGCTGCCTTTCAGTTCCAGAGATGGAGGAATTTCAGTGGTGCTGTATGTATATAGATTTTGTCCTGTAACTCTTCACTCCCATGAATAGTCCTTATTCACGTGAGAAATTTCATTGTCTGCATAAAGTAAGGATTTGCAGGATCACAGCCATAATTTTTAATGCACGCTGGGGTGCAAGCTGCTATGTCAAATGGTATCATATTATTACTCTTTTTTAAAAATCACAAATAAATGACTATCTTTTAGTGCTTTTACCATGCTAGTTGCTTTGTCTAAGAAAAATATTTTTGCACATAGCTTAACAGATTTTAAGATAGACAAAATAGTAGGGCCTAAATTGCTTGACCGTGATGGCAGTAATTCCAAAAAGAAGCTGCTTATGGAACTTGAACCTCAGTTCCTACGTTGTAGTATGCTTACAAATCTCCATACATGCTGAAACGTCCCTAAATGAATGTTGTTGGTTCAGTTATACAAATGCATGTTAAATTAAGGGCTTTTTAAAATCAAATATACTCTGAAGCCTATTCTGAGTAAATCCATTTCAAAATTATATGTACTCCCATTTTAACTCTGCCACAGTGTTGACAGAGATATGCTTATGCATAATAAGTATTAGGGAACAAGTTACGGGATGTGCAGAGCAGCACATAATAGATTTTTTTAAACTAAACAAAGAAAAGCCCAGTCTCCATTTACCTCAGATATTTTTATAGTGCCATTCCCATACTATCTAGGCATAGAATACAGTAAAATTCCAAAAGCAAAAGATAATTGCTTAAAAACAACATTGTTGCTAGGTGACCAACAGTCTTCATACCCATCACATCATTTACCAAATCCAAGCACATACAAGCAAGGAAACAAATAGTTAAATCATAACTCTTACAGTGCCCACATCATAAACATACATTACTCTCCTATTAAGTAGAAAGACAACTCTATGAACTGCTTTTACGGTTATGCATTCAATAAGTGACAATGCAGCTATCAGGAGGTTATAAGTTAAGTAGGTCCCACCCAGTCTTTTCTTATACCTGCTTCCATGTCTTCCAGGCAAGTGAAAGACTCAAGGAGCTCCGCCTATTTTGCTTACCAAAGAAGAGGTCAAGAAGTGACTTGATCACATCTATAAATACTTACATGGAAAACAGAAATTTAATAACAGAGGGCTCTTCAATCTAGCAGACAAAGGTTTAAGAAGACCCAATGATTGGAGGCTGAAGCAGACTACAAATAAGGAGAGTTTTTAACAGTGAGGTCAATTAACCACTGGAACAATTTACCAAAGATTCTGGTGGATTCTCCAGCACTGGAAATTTTTTTCCCCCAATCAAGACTGGATGTTTTTCTAAAACACAGGCTCTAATTCAACCAAAACTATTGGATTTGAAGAAGTAAATCAGGAAAGTCCTGTGGCCTGTGATATGCAGGAAGTCAGACTAGATCATTTTGGTCTTAAAAATATATGAATCACATCAGTTTAGATCCCTTAGAGTCAGACTCTCTAATGCTGATTTAAAGACATATTACTGACCCAGCCTTCACTATCTTCACCTTTCGATTTGGCCAAACAACATGGCGCTACACAGTGCTACACTGAGTGTAGCATTTATCCCAGTAGCAGCATCTATTCCACAGATGGAAAGTGAGGGATAGTTCATAGATAATGTGTTTGTTTTCCTTTCCATTCCAAGGGCTCAATCCAGTGCCACGGAAGTCAAAGAGAGTCTGTCTATTGACTCCGCTGTCATTGATTCAGAGCCCAAGTGAATAGTTGGGCTGGAGGGAGGCAGTTGATTATTGATCATTTTAGATTACAGATGGTTATCAGGCTGGCAACTTTCCATTGCACCTACCGATGAGAGCAATAATGATTATTCCTATACGATATGTCTAATACGGCAGTTGTCCAACAGATATATAACAATGTAGGGATTTTATCATCTCCAATAGCTGTTAACAGTTCTTCACTGCATATACAGAACAGCTGGCAAGAAGCTTATCTTCTTCATGCTATGTTGCCATCCGTCATTACTGTTTATCAGCTAATATTTTGAAATGTGTACTATGGAGGACAAAAGAAATGTAATCCTTCAACAGCTATGAATTTCGGGACTTGGAAAAGAAAGAGCACTGAGGAGAGACAAAAACTCTTCAAATCACCCTCTCAAAGTGAATGAAGTTACTTGCTTGATTTTCTTTGTTACGTCTCCATCAAGCCATGGCATTTCATCCATTTGCCATGTATTAAAACTTCAAGATAAAGCTCACCTCTTGTTCTTAACCACATTTGAGCATCGGTGCATTTTTACCTTCATTTTTTCTTTTGTCATATCCGGTGGAAGGATAATTGAAGCTTATAGTGTGTTATTTTGAGGGGATGCTGTCTAGTAAATAGGATATAGGTTCTGAGAGTCAGGAGACCTGAGTTCTAATCCTGGCTTTGTCACTAACTTGTTGTGTTATCTTGTGCCAGTCACTTCACCTTCCTGTGTCTCTGGTCCCTTCCACCTTTTGTCAGTTGTGGCCATTTAGATTGAAAGCTCTCTGAAACGGTGATTGTCTATCAGTGTGTGTTTGTACAGGGTCCCTAGCTGCTACAGTAACACAAACTAATAATAATCCTATCTTGTGAAGAAACAGATTTTATTTTGACAGATGTTTCTACTAGTTAGCCCAGTTTGTAATTGTTTTTACTTTCTGGTTAATTATTTTGATAGTAAATGCACATCAGTCTTACTTACACTGCTTGCTTCTTTCCCAGATCGAAACCCTTCTTGAAAGTGCTCCAATTTTTCAGTCACTCGTGTTGCATGTAGTTTAGTATTTGACAAATGCTTGACATTTTTATCAAATCTGTATACCGTATGATGGATGTAGTTGAGACTTGAAGCACTATGTAATCAAATATTACTGGGGATCGTCACAATATTTAACACTGCTTCTGTCTTTAGTAGTAGTATTTCTTATTTATATTGTAGCACAGCTTAGAGTCCCCAACTCAGTATGGGCCCGATTGTGGTAGGCCCTGGACAAATATATGGTATATTACAAACATTGTCTCAAAGGACTTCCAGCTAACAGATATATGAAAACAAACAAACAGGCATGGAGAAGGAGGATGGAGTAATAGTAATAATAGGGAGTTTTTTGCATAGACTAGTTTTGTGCACAATATGCAGCTAATCAGTAGCAGTAATCACCTACCACGGCCCAGCTCTGCCACCTTTACTTAAAGTGAGTAATACTTTTCTCTATTAGTAGTCCCATAGAAATCTTACAGCTCTTTTGACAGATTCATGATTTCCTTGCTGCTGAAGCATACATTTCTTTCTGCCGTCCATTTTACTCTTTTCATAATTTTAGTTGATAAGCAGTAATTGCTGGTGGCAACATACCATGAGGAGGATAAGCTACCTGCCAGAAGTTATGTTATCTTGCTGCTCTAATAATTAGTTGATTGAAGTTAATGGTTAGTGGAATTAATTCACATGAGTAAGTGCTACTCAACATGAGTAACAGCTGCAGAATTATGTATTGTTTTGAAAATGCATTTTTGCATTTGTACTTATCCTTTCTCCCGTTTGCAGTTATTATTCCATTATTATGAAATGCCCCTTTGCCTGTAAAATATTTTGCTCTGCTGTCACATTTTATTTTATACATTTCTTAAAGGAGAACATTCATGACTGAAAACTACTGTCCATACCAAAGAAATTTTCAAGGCTACAGAGTTTGTTATAATGTAAGGAGTGTCCAAAATGTCTTAACCCTGACACACACATTAAGCTACAACAGTGACACAGAACAAAAAAACAGGTTGGGCAGCAAAGATTCTAATTCTTTATTTAAATGCTGCACTTCAAGATAAGTGACCCTGCAGTGTTGCTATTAGGAGGACTTTAAACAATAAAGGCTGTGTGTTGTCAACTTTTGCTGAACTGTTTGTCACTGGAGGGTAAAGTTCAAGGTTGAGGCACGTATAATTTAGATTACATCGTCCTATGTTTTGACATGAATGAGGTGACTCACTGTTTCCATATTATCCTGTTTGGCACCTGATGTTTTCCTCTTACCCCACTACCATCCCTTCAGCTACTTTTTGCCCATGCCCTCCATTTTTAATTTCTTTCCATCTGCCATGGTTACATGTGCCATGTCTGAAATGAATCTGAAAGTTGCTTCACAAACCTCAAAGTACCTTTGTGCATCTAAATGATTGTCCTCAAAAAGCTACTCCATCATTTTTTTATTGATAACATGCTGTTGCCATCTGAATCCCAATTTTCCCATATACTCTTCGTTAAATACATCACACCTTCTGTTTGCAGTGGTCATATATTCCAGGCCTGCCCTCTCTAGTTGTCGGAGCATAGACTTGGCAAAGAGAATGCCAATGTTCTGAACAGGCTCTGACATAGGGGCCCAGATACTTAGGTGCCTAAGTCCCAGTTTTAGGCTCCACTGCAATCCACAAAACTCCTGTTCCTGCCATCTAATCCTGTGGGTGCCTAAACTCACTCAGCATCTCCATTCCCACTGCAAAAGTTCCCTAAGCATCTAGGTTTCTACCTCTGGGCATGCACACTGCTGCCTCACTTTAGAAGTCCAGACACCCATCTCCAGCCTAAGCCTCAGCACAATCCATGAACTGGGGGAAGACAGGTGTTTGTCTGCCTATTTTCCCTGCAGGGCCTGATTTGGTTGGCATGCTCAGAGCATGCCTAATGGATCAAACCCCATTCAAAATCCAGGAGGAGAAATAGTCCACTGAACTTCCCCAAAATAATTCTTTGGGCAGATCTTTTAGAAAATATCCAATCTTGGTTTTAGAATTCTCAGGATAGAGAATCTACCACAACCCTTGGTAAATTGTTCCAATGGTTAATTACTGTCATGGTTAAAAATGTACACCTTATTTCCAGTCTGAATTTGTCTAGCTTCAGCTTCCAGCCACTGGCTTCTGCTATACCTTTGTCAGCTAGATTGATGAGTCCACTATTAAATATGTCCCCCATATAGGTAGATCAAGTAACCCCTTAACCTTTTCTTTGTTAAGCTAAATAGATTGACCTTCTTGAGTCTATCGCTATATGGCATGATTCCAAATCCTTTAATCATTCCTATGGCTCTTCTCTGAACCCTCTCTGATTTATTAACATCCTGCTTGAATTGTTAGCACCAGAACTAGACACAGTATTCCAACAGTGGTCGCACCAGTGCCAAATACGGAGATAAAATAACCTCTCTGCTCCTACTTGAAATCCCCCTGCTTATGTCTCCCAAGATCACATTAGCCTTTTTAGCCATAGCCTCACACTGGGAGCTCGTGTTCAAGTGATTATCCATCACGACCCCAAAATCTTTTTCAGAGTCACGGCTTCCCAGAATGGAGTCCCTCATCCTGAAAGTATGGCCTACATTTTGTATTCCTAGATGTATACTTAAGTCACATGCTATGAATTCTGTTTTCTGATTGGTTGGCTTAAACAGAAGCAGTGCCTGAAGAAATGCTTGGGATATTGGATCTGTCAGGAAAAGGGTAGGAAGCACTGTAAGCAGAGAGAGAGCAAGAGACACCAACTGGCAGCTGCTGTTTCCTGCATTCCTCTCTGCCTGGAGCTGATGCTTGCTGGCTTCCCCTTTTCTCCCTGATGATGGTGGGGCTAAGGGCCACCTTCCTTATCAGAAGCTCCTTGATGCTGTGCCAGCAGCATATTTGTTACTGTGCCACTGTAAAGAAGGTTCTATAGAGCAGTTGATCCCCCTCAGCTTAATATCTGGCCATACTGCAGACCCTATGCTCCATATTTTGGACTGGGGAAAAATATTTTTCCCCCCCATCGAGGGACATTGCTACTGCTTGAGCATCCTTCCTCTCCCAGCTGCTCCTACTAGGAGGTCGGCCAGTTGTTTCTTTGAAAATCATTAACATTCACGAAGAAAACTCAATTCACTTGTGATTTTTAAATGGACTTCAGCCCTCTTACAAGCTTCTTTACCCATGCTCTCATTCTTCACAAGGTAGCTTTTACCATCCATGTAATCTTCCACCCACTATCTTGTTAGCTCTAACTTCATTTGTACATACATATTGGCCCTGAATCACCACTACTCTATTCCATTATTATTATTATTATTATTTTTGCTAGTGTAACTTTAATGGAGTAAAGCTGTGTAAAACTACACTAACCCAGGGGTGAATCAGGCCCATTGTGTACAGCTCTTAAGTTTCCCTGCCTAATTTCCAAATAGCGTACGATCCATTTCTTCATTCATATGCATTAGCTTTTAGTGTCATACCTATTTTCTCTGCTATCAGTAGCTTTGTGCTTCAGATTACAAGCAAAATGAGGAGAGAACTGTGCAATAGGAGTATCACATCCTTCTAAATAGAAACCGGAACCTCCTGGGGGAGTCCCAAAAATGGATGTAACATAGGAAATACACACTGGGCCTCATTTTCTCTTTCATTAGGCTAACTACACTCACTTCAGTAGAGTCAATCCTAATTAACGCCAGCGTACATGAGGGCAAAATCAGTCCCTTTGTAATTATACTAGATTCTCCAGGGAGTACCTCTAAATATAGTTTTCCCCTCACTTTTCCTGCCCAGGTTTATCTGGACTGTTGATCAGCCATCACCACATCTCACTTGCTCTCATCTGATAAGCATATTTGTATGAACCCTCAAGCTTTTTGATGGGACAAAAAAGTAGTTGTTGTTTCCTAAAGGCAGCAGCTCTGTGGTGCACACTCTCCTCTTGGAATCTTTTGTCCCTTATCTCGTAGTCAAAAAGCTGCTTTGACAGGAACCAGGTGATTTAATTTCCCATTGTCGTTGTTTCTATCCTCCTAAACTCCCCATTCCCGCAACTTGTTTCCATCCCATTACATCAGCTTCAGATTGTGATACTTACACTCACCAGTAAACAGCAAGAAGGAAGCATCACAACATGAAATCCAACAGAGTCCTTTCTACAACTGCTCAATTTAAAAAAAAAAAAAACAAGCATCTTTGTGCTCATCCTACGCATGGGTAGGAGCATCGCGCTTTGTTGCCATTTGGATTCTTCAGGAGGTATTCTTTCATTAATGGATTTCAGCCAATCCCTCTGGCAGCTGCTTGGTTATCAGATTATTTGGACAGTGCTTGAATGGATGAGCATATACTACAGTTACCTCATTCAGCACTGCTTCTCTGGATTCTCTTGTGAAAAATGTAAATCTCTCCTGGTCAGCTGGGACAGCGTGGATTCTCTGTGGGGCTGGTGTATCCGTTCAGAGTTCTCTTGGTAATGCCTTTCTGAAAGCAGCTGAGCACCACCTTACACAGACAGACAGTACTGAAATCCTACAGACACCCATCAGGCCACCTGAAAAGCACTTCACTGCTATACATATTGGGTCTAATTCCGCTTTCTCATACACCAGTGCCTCAAGTGGAGTTACTCCTAGTTTTGCTGGTATGAAAGGAGAATGAGAACCACTGGGTTGTAATTAGAGGCCTTAACTTGACATGACTCACAGCAATCTTGTGTATAGATGTAGCATAACCCGCAGCCATCTTGTAGGCTCAACCACTATAAGCTGGATACAAAAAACTAGTGTCAGTAGAATTTGGCCTTGGTATAGGCAGACAGATAGAAAAGTACCAGCTGCAGCTCTACTAACAGGAGATAGTGACTAAATTCACAAAGTCATGAAAATGGGGAGAGAATAGAAAAGCTCAGCTTAAGTTTCTTTCTGATAATAAGTATCTGCTCTTGCTGTTGCTAGAAATATTGTTGTAGCCAATTAGGGGTTATTTTAAATAATTAGTGTATTTTAAAGAGGCAAAGAGTCACAGGCTACTGCTGATTAAGCAATGCTAGCCTGACAGTATATCCCACTAACAAAGCATAAAGAGAAGTAGGCCTTGAGAAGTTTTTACTAACTTTGAAAAACACAAAAGCTAATGAGTAGGAACTGCAGTCTTAGGCATGTGAACCCCTCTATAGTGATATGATGTACAACGATTGGTTAGTGTTTTTGCATAGCTACATTTTAAGTAAAATAGTTGGGTATGGCATATATAAGAGAAATCCTCTTTTAACTATTTATAATGAGGGTCAAAAGACAAGCTTGTTGGAACTTAACTCTGGTATAAAGCTCAAAACCAAAGCTGCTAGAACTTTTAAACCTCTGCATAACCCTACTCTGCAGAAGCCGGAGCCCCAACCAAGATCAGTTCTTGACTGGCCAGACAGATGTCTGTCTGTCTTTATTGGAAGTGGTGAGAATGGCATGTGTATTCTACAGATTCATTGTTTATTGCTAATAAATACACATATATGTTCAAGGATATTCACTATGTGAAGGCTCTTTCATTGGGCAAAGGTCCCACTAACCCAGGGGTGGGAAAACTACAGCCTGGGAGCCACATCTGGCCCTCCAGCCATTTTAATCTGGCCCTCAAGCTCCTGCTGGGAAGTGGGGTCCGGGGTTTGCCCCGCTCCAGCTGGGGAGTGGGGTTGGGATCTTGCCCCACTCCATGCAGCTCCCAGAAGCAGTGGCATGTCCCCCTTCCAGCTCCTACACATAGGGGCATCCAGGGGGCTCCGCACACTGCTCCCGTCCCAAGCGCCGCCCCTGCAGCTCCCATTGACTGGGAGCTGCAGGGACGGCACCTGTGGACAGGGCAGCACGCAGAGCCACATGACTGCATCTAGGGGATTCTGCATCTGCAGAAAAGGACCTAGGGGTTACAGTGGATGAGAAGCTGGATATGAGTCAACAGTGTGCCCTTGTTGCCAAGAAGGATAATGGCATTTTGGGCTGTATAAGTAGGGGCATTGCCAGCAGATCGAAGGACGTGATCATTCTCCTCTATTCGACATTTCGTGAGGCCTCATCTGGTGTACTGTGTCCAGTTTTGGGCCCCACACTACAAGAAGGATGTGGAAAAATTGGAAGGAGTCCAGCAGAGGGCAACAAAAATGATTAGGGGGCTGGAGCACATGACTTATGAGGAGAGGCTGATGGAACTGGGATTGTTTAGTCTGCAGAAGAGAAGAATGAGGGGGGATTTGATAGTGGCTTTCAACTCCCTGAAAGGGGGTTCCAAAGAGGATGGATCTAGACTGTTCTCAGTGGTACCTGAAGACAGAACAAGGAGTAATGGTCTCAAGTTGCAGTGGGGGAAGTTTAGGTTGAATATTAGGAAAAACTTTCACTAGGAGGGTGGTGGAGCACTGTAATGGGTTACCTAGGGAGGTGGTGGAATCTCCTTCCTTAGAAGTTTTTAAGGTCAGGCTTGACAAAGCCCTGGCTGGGATGATTTAGTTGGGAATTGGTCCTGCTTTGAGCAGGGGGTTGGACTAGATGACCTCTTGAGGTCCATTCCAACCCTGATATTCTATGATTCTATCTCCGCTTAGGAGCCGGAGGGGGGGGACATGCTCCTGTTTCTGGGAGCTGCTTGAAGTAAACACCGCTCAGAGCCTGCCCCCCTGATCCTCTCCCATACCCCAACCCCCTGCCCCAGCCCTGATCCCCCTCCCGCCCTCCAGACACCTCGGTCCCAGCCTGGAGCACCTTCCTGAACTCCCAACCCCTCATCCCCAGCCCTACCCCAGAGCCCGCACCCCGTGCCGGAGCCCTCCCACCCCCCAACCCCAATTTTGTGAGCATTCATAGCCTGCCATACAATTTCTGTACCCAGATGTGGCCCTCAGGCCAAAAAATTTGCCCACCCCTGCACTAGCCTACAGAGGGTCATTGGCACCCCAAGCCCAGGGAGGGGAGAGAGTGGGCACCCTAAATTGTGCAGGTAACAGGGTCAGATCCTAGCCCATACTAAGTCTCCATTGTGCTGTTCCAGGAATGCAAAGGGGATTTAAAACTGCCGTAAGTGAGAGGAATCCTTGGCTGGCATACAGCCAGCCCTGTGCCACCCCATCTTGGCTTCCTACATGTAGGCAGCATGCTGTGGTCATGGCTGGAGCACACTGCACTCCCCAGCCAGCGTAACAGTCCCAAGAGGATGATGTAGAACTAGCCCCAGGATTGATGATCCTCAAATGGCTTCTTAATAGCTGAGCAAGGGAACTACAATCAATGCTTATTGGCTACAGTGAAGGATTCAGCCTATTACTCTCCACCACCACCCCATTATTCTTATGTTTCAACAGTTTGCTAGAATTGCTGTTGGAATGGAAACTTCTCTGTGCCATAGCTTGGCATCTTGCCCATGATGCTTCTCTAGAAGAATCCTCTGATCCAAATTTAAAAAAAAAAAAAGGAAGCTTGCCGTGGAACATCCTTGAAATCACACACACACTTAAAATTCTTAACAGGAAATAAAAAAATCAGTTTGGTTCCAGGAAGCATTAGTAGCTCTTGGGCATCCACTCCACCTGTGATTCAGAACTGGTATCCAGACACGTGTAGGGGAGAAAGCAGAAATAAATCCACAGAAATCAAACGGCAGAGGCTTTATATTTCAAGTCCATTTTCCCCCAGGATCTCTTTTATGCTTAATCCCCCCAGAGATGTATCTTTGTTTCCCAGCAACAACAGAAATTAAAAAGTTAAACAATGAATTAAATGCATTCAAAATGGTCCTTTTGGTCACTACAGTACATTTCAAAGATAGGCTTGGAAAATAGTAACTTGAAAAACATTTTTATGGTGTAGGCTTTTCTGCTATAATGTTTAAAACAAACAAAAACAAAAAATTAGGAGCCTGTGCTGCATACTAAGACACTAGCATTTCAAGGAAGGTAGGAGGAAAATGTTTATAATGGTTCCTATTAAGTGGTTTGATGCAATGCATACTGCAGATTGCTTGTGAACCTGAATACCAGCTGTGTTGTAATTAACATAGAGTGCCTGGCACAGAGAATGTGGTTGCTTGTTCTTGGAAACTGTTGCTTTTGTCCCCCAGAGATGGAATAGGCTAACAGTTACTGGAGGACTTTTGTTCTTTTGTAAAGTCCCATTATTAGGGTGCTTTGTTACAGGTTTTCTAACCATTTCAAAGCAACCTTAATAAAGAAAGAGAAAACCTTCAGTCTCTCTCTCTCTCTCTCTCAAATATAAAGATGTTGAAAGATTTATTTGCATCCCTCTAAACTATTTACAAATTGAAACTCTTGGGATTTTTTAAACCAGCTGTGAGATTGGAAAAAGGAATAGCTATTCCTTGATAATGTGATGGTGAAGTGGTTTCTCATTAATTTCTGAGGATGAAGATTGTCTACCGCTCTATACAAAGAGTACATTTAAAAACTGATGAGGAAAGGATTACAATATTAAATATTTGCAGTAGTGGCCTGCATCTCAAAAATAGGAGGCCAAATTCTCAGGTGATTTAAATTAGCATAAGTCCATTTAAGTCTGTGTGTCTATATCAATTTACACCAGTAACTCTTGGAGCCATCCTTAAATACCTCATAGTCCATATCAATCATACATGCATACAAGGAAAGGGAAACAAAAAAATGTATTTCCACATGTTGAGAATCTGTGTTGTTATTCCAAATCAAGGCTATTGACTGAACAATCTCATGTTCCTTTCTGAGGGTGAAAGAATTTTTTGGAGATATCCTATCTCCTAGAACTGGAAGGGACCTTGAAAGGTCATTGAGTCCAGCCCCCTGCCTTCCCTAGCAGGACCAAGTACTGATTTTGCCCCAGATCCTTAAGTGGCCCCCTCAAGGATTGAACTCACAATCCTGGGTTTAGCAGGCCAATGCTCAAACCACTGAGCTATCCCTCCCCCAATTTCAGAGATCTCTTGTGACCTAATGCACAATATGCAGCCAAAAAAAAAAAAAAAATACTCATTTTTGCCACAGTTATTTAAATGGCGCACAATGCGTTTTCCAGAAGTCAATATCTTAATGGTACCCGCACTGCTGCATCTATTCTACACCTGCCAATTTTCTCTCTCAAATTCATTCTCAGGAGCATTTTTGTATATTTTCACAGGGTGATAGCAATTCAGAACAAATTCCTTTTGAGGCTTTACATTTAAATCTGTATCCGCCTGCAAGGTGAAAAGAAGAATGTAGAGCACTGAAAATTCCTTAAGGAAATAGAGTGTTAGCGAACAGGGTCTTAGATGTCTGGAAAGAGGAGGGAAAAAGAGAATATGAAAAGAGGCGAACTAGGAGCTGGAACAGATGATATTATATAGTATAAGCAAGGCCACCGAAGACAAAAGGAGTGAGTGGGCTGAATTTATGCTGCCTGGGAAGTCACAATTGGTTAGGACAATGTGATTTACAGCAAACAGTGAAAGGATTCACACTCTTTCCTGCAGCTCTTTTAAGATACCTCTCGTAGAATTATAGTAAATCTTAAAAACAGAAAACACAGTAAAGCTGAGCCTTTCCCTAACCTGTTGCTTCATTCTTTATAAAATTTAAATGATCTTAATTGAATCCAGCTCCTAATCATGATGATCGTTACAGATGGGTGCAGTTGAAAACAACGAGTAATTAATTTGCCGAAGCTCAAGGATGGAGGGTGAGGGGGAAAAACATTATTCATTCAATTAGGATGACTGGATTCACAGTCCCTGGAAACATAACTGCATATTAAATAGTGGGAAGGATTCCCCTAAGTTCCCTTTGGATAAATACACATCACATCGCACATAAGAAAATCTCCAGTCAGATCTTATGCAAGCCGTGGGATGCTAAGATTTGCTCGGAAAGAGAAGCTTCTTTTTCATGTCAAATAGCCAGGATTTCTATTTCTAGAGACTTCACAGGTGAAGCTCTCTTCAAAGTCATAATTGTGTAACGTTTCAGAACACACACACACAAAACCAATTCCTTTCTCACCAAGGAACATGCTATGAAGCCTGTAAAATGCCCAAGGTGAAATCATGGCTCTGTTGAAGGCAATGGGAGTTTTGCCATTACTTCACTGGGGCCAGAACTTCACCCTACTGCCTGTTTTGCTATTTAATATTCTAACAAGAGTAGGGCCCAGAAGATTGGTAATGGGATTTGGAGCCTACATTTTCAAACGCTACGAGCTATTTTGGGTGCCCGACATGAGATACTTTAAAGAGGCCCAATTTTCAGAAGGTGCTGAGCACACTCCCTGAAAAGCTTGTTACAAAATCCCTGTTTTTGTGCTCTGTGGATTGAGCCCAAATGACAACAGTAGGGTTACCATATTTAAAAAATTTAAAAGAAAGAGGACACTCCACAGGGCCCTGGCCCCGCCCCTTTCCACCCCAACCTCGCCCCTTCCCCAAAGTTCCTGCCCTAACTCCCCCTCCTCCCTCCCAGCCACGCGAAAAGGGCTGCCCCACCGCTACCGGCTTCACGGTTTGCCAGGCAG